CTTTTTAGGCATCAACTTCACCCGTTTACATGTATGCGGGACAAACACGAATCAGTCAACCAAATTATGGAATGCCTCATTAAGACCGCAAAGTTAGTTATAAGAAGGTATGAAGACCAAGATGGTGTGGCCTTTTGTGTGGTCGCAGTCTTTTACAGGGCAAGAGAGAGACTGCGATAAGACCTAGGTAAGGAGGACTGTGTAACAATATGGCAGGCTCTGATCAACATTCCCAGCGCAAGGGTAAATGGGGTGAGAACGACAGCGTGAAGTGTGAAGGGTTTTCATGAATGCCGCTCACAGGAGCATACCACACTACATCGAAATAAACACGGTAAAAAATTGTAACAGTAAGGCGTGATAGGAGGATATAGGAAATGTGAATAGCCCATGGCAGAAGGGGAGATACCACAACTGATTAGCACACGTTTGGTCAAAGGATCGGCTTCACTCGTCTCTTTGACGAGTTGTTTTGTGGTGCTAGGAATTGAAAGACTCACTGACAATGCCGACTAAGATGACGGCGAAACGTCTGGGAATATATCACGATCACGATCTTACTTTGGAAATTATCATGCATACAATGGATTCCGGACTAGGTGCGGCCTTACCAATATTACCAAGTTGCGAAAACAAGATCAAACAACTTCTATTTAGTTATAAGAAGCTGAAATTTGTCCTGTCTCCTTTGTTGGCTTAGTTCTTTTGTGGATTGTTCGTAAAGGATCTCTTCTGGCTCTTGCGATTTCTGTCACAGGAAGGAGTAAAGCTCAGTACTGATTCATCAGGATCTCAGGTATGTGATTGAGTTCTTGTTCGCACAATCTAGCAGTTATAGGCAACTCTTCTACTTCGCTATCCGATGAGGCCAATTAAGGAATCGTTTCCACTCGCATTTCAAAATATTAAATCAGAGGTATACAAACATCACTTTACTAAACGATTCTTCGAAACCCGGCTTCAATTCATATATCGTAATAATTGGTTTTTATTGGGTTGTCTAATCAGTTTTAACTTCTAAATCAATAATGGCAAAAAATTAAATAAAAAATATTTAATCGAAGGTATGAAGACCAAGATGTGTGGCCTTTTGTGTGGTTGCAGTCTCCTTTCGTTGTATAGAAGTTGTTAGACCTTATTTTCGCAACTTGGTCATATTGTTAGAAAAACTTAGAGGAACGCACCTAGTCCTCCTAAGTCGTATCAACACCCCCAGCATGACCTGAACAATTGCAGAACAGCGTATAATCTCGTGGCGTACATTGTTACGAGTGACCTTGGGTGACAGGGTAGATTTGAATTACGAGGAAGGAAAGCATTTTCCAATAACACATTCTCTGATGGGATTGTCGTCGAAGCAGAGTAATATTAGCTATAGCAATCGACTAGGTTAATTAGATTTCCTTAATAATTAGGCTTTCGAGATTACTAGTAGGTCATCTTATATGTCATTTAATCCTGACACCTAGATTGTTTGTTGGATATATAAACGATTATTTTGAATTTCAGAGGCATGGTAAGTAAAGACGAGATATAAGTTGTTTAAGCTTGTTTTCGCAACTTGGTCATATTGGCAGGAAGGCCTAGAGGAGCGCACCCTGTCCGGGGTCCATAGTATGCATTATTATTTCCAGAGTCGGACCGGAGGCTAGGTTCATTCCCAGACGTTTCTCCGGCATCGTCAATGAGCCTTACCCTTCTTAGCACGACACTTAATTCGTTAAAAAGACCTTTGACCAATTGTCTTCTAAACATTTTAGGTATCTCTCATATCCTGAGCTATTCACCTATCCTATATTTTCGTATCACCCCTTCGATATCACAGTTTCTTACTTGTTTATCTAAACCTTCAGGTCCTATCGGAGTCCCCTTCTTGCTCAGTAGGATCCTTCCCTTATCTGCCGGTTTCATTGATTTCATGCCATCGCTACCACTGTAGCCTTGCTACTTAAGACGTTATGTTCTACACTCTGCCTCAAGCCTTTGATAGCACGTATACA